AATTAGATCTCGAAACAATTACCGAGTTAAACCAATTCTGACTAGATCTCGAAATGATGACCGAGCTAAGCCAATTCTGCCTAGATCTTCGAATGATTACCGGGCTAAGCCAATTCTGATCAAATCTGGAAACGATGACTGAGCTAAGTCAATTTTGACTAAATCTGAAAAGGGTGGCCAAGCTAGGCCAATTCTAACTAGATCTGGAATACATGACTGAGCTAAGCCAATTCTGACTAGATCTCGAAATGATTATAAAGAGCCAACAATATTCAGGTCTCTATATTTAGTCTCCCTCTCCCTTACCTGGGTAGGTGGAATGTCGGCTTATCGATTCGCCGACTAGTCGCGGGCGCCTTTCTTCATGTGTGCCGTATTTGTAAATGTGTGTGTTGTACCTGCGTTCTAGGAAAGCAATTAAAGAGTTCAAAGAAAAAATAAACTATCCGAATGTTTCCAGAAGGTTCCAGAAAGTAAACAAAAGAGTATTTAAAGGAAGAGGCGATCGGCGAGAGGAAGAAATAAATTCACCGTTGCAGAAGTGAATCCAGAAATAAATTGACAGTGATAGCAGTGAAATAAATAGCACGGTGAATAGTGATATATCAACAGTAGTGTAAATAAATAGAATAATTCATAACCTAAGTTTAGTAATAATTTAATAGTGTTTTTAAGTTCTTTAATAATTAGTGTAAATAAATAGTTTTTGTCGTTATCAGTCTTAGAAGTTAATTTTGTTAAACCCACGAACATTACAATATTAATAAAAATACTAACTAATAAAACACTAACACAAACAAATAACAATTAATATATACAAAAATGAACAGAAGCACGAAATACAAACAAATAAAAATATTAACAAAATAATTAAAATACTTGAGACACTTTTTCGGTGTTTAGATTTGTTACCTGCGACAAGGTCATTTTCACGCTGGGCCCAGAAAGTCGAAGGGACTAGGAGTAATACAACAGATTGCTGTACATTTATGAATAACTTTTAGATTTCAGTTTTTGACCTGACTACGCCGGCAAAACTGCTAGTGGTAAATAAGTGACGCAAAATAAAATATTTGTAAAGGTTATTTAATTTTGCTAAGTTCAATATTTTTTCCATTTCATTAATAGCTGGTTCTTTCCCTCAATTACCTTACTTTATCTGTAGGCATTTCATATCAGTCTGTATTTATCTATTTACAAACTTAAGTGAGGATGGAATAGTAGGGATATAAAGCAGAGGATAGCGCAGGGTCGTGTCGGCTTTAATAAAAAGAAGTCACTTCTATGCTCGCGAACCGTTAATTTAGAAATTCGAAAAAGGTTGTTAAAGGTGTATGTTTGGAGCACGGCATTGTACGGGTGCGAAACATGGACAGTGGGAGCGGCGGAAAAGAAAAGGTTAGAAGCTTTCGAAATATGGTGTTATAGGCGGATGATGAGGATATCGTGGGTAGAAAAGGTTAGAAATGAGGAGGTATTGGAAAGAATAGGAGAACAGAAGACTCTATGGAAGACAATAAAAAATAGGCGAGATAGGTTGGTAGGACACTTTCTCAGGCATGAAGGTCTAGTCAGAGACATATTAGAGGCAGAAACAGGAGTTAGGAAGGGTAGAGGTAGACCTAGATTAGATTACGCTTCGCAAATAGTTAAGGATGTGGGCTGTTCTAGTTTTAGGGAAATGCGAAGTTTAGCTCAGGATAGGAAAGAATGGAGGTACGTGTCCAACCAGTCTTAGGACTGATGACCTTATGATGATGATGAATCTTACATTGTAGCCGCAGTAAAATTTTTTGATTTCTTTTATGTAGCAAACGTTGTAGTAACTATAAGTACTGAATGTAATATTTTTTTGAACTCCCACCCCCGAAAATATTTTCTGCGTTCGCCCTAGCTTTAGCTGTGTTGTAGGTAAGATGTCAAAAATAAATTACCTTACACGTTAAATGCGAAATTTATTTGTAAACAAAAATCTTACAAAAACTACTAACTCGATCTACATTAATAAGATTTATGTCGGTTTAAGTCGTAGGCGAGTGTTTTGTTTTGTCAATTATCTAAAATATTTGACTTGCTGATTTTATTGAAGATTATTTTTAATGAAAATCATTTTAATTTAATTATTTCTAAATATCAAATAGAAAAATATGTGACATCACAGTATGGGGCGGGATTCACAAATGTGACCACCTGTGACAAGGAGGGGGGTTAAAAATCATAAAATTTGTATGATGGGTGGTGCCTAAGGAAGCACGATAGAAAATCGTTGCTCTTCCTTGATTTTGTTTGTAGGCTTAGGGTAGCAGTTCAAGTTAATGTAATGCTTCCGAAATATTAGGATTGGATTTAAATTCAAAGAAAAAAGAAATTTATAAAAAGAAACCTTGGAAATTAAAATTCACAGGTTAAAAGGAAGTGGCAAATGGTTTTGAATATGCTGCTACGGTGAAGATCAGCAGGTACTCAAATATCATTTGTCCTCTGCAAAAGACTAGAAACTGAGAAAATTTACTTTAAATTTACAGAATACACTACATACTACAATACTGGTCTAGTCAAAAGCTATGTGTCTGTGCTTAGCTAACTAAAAAGAGGCAATCAAGTCTATTTGCGAAACTGAAGGTAAGTAAAAATGTGACTAGGGTTTATATGTGATTTGCATATTTAGTATTTTGGTTCTCGTGCAATAATGACTTATATTTGATCGATCGACAGCGAAGATAATTCTACTAAGTGTTTCTACAGAATCCCCACCCTAACGATTGACAATATCGATTATCCCATTCTAAAAAATTTCGGAAAGTACTCGACCAACTGAACGGGTTGTTCTTATCGACTGTGGGATGTCGTTGCTAGTAGGTACAGGCAGGGGAGTAGGTTACGGTTTTTGTCAGTCTGTCATGATGTATACTGGTTTAAGTCGATGAATGGATACTGCTGTCTCTCTTCTGAACAATTGGATGGTGAACGTGTGATTATTTCTCCTGAGTACTATCGTAAGAGAATTGTAGCTAATTTTTAGGACTATGTTGAATTAGGACGCAGTCTGTTGTTTGGTTCAACACTGCCACAGCCACTGCCGGTCCCAAGCCCGGAAAAAGGAGGAGGATTGTGGCGTCAGGCTAGCTCCCTGACCCATGTAAAAAATATCCACTGCTAAAACACCCAGCAATAAGCCTCGGATATCGGACGGAAACTATAGACGAAAACAGCAACGAAAATGGACTTTAAATATTGGAATATGGAACATACAGGGTATAAGAAATAAACAAAGAGAGATTATGAAGGAATTAACCCAGCGGAAAACAGACATAGCAGTCCTCACTGAGACTAAAAAGAAAGGAAAATTTTGAAACAAACGTAAGAAATATTTTAGACAATATCCCACACCGTCACGAAATTATAATAGCCGGAGATCTGAACGGACGAGTAGGAAAACAAGGAGACAATAAAATTATTGGCATGCATGGTGAAGAGACTATTAATAACAACGGGGAAAGACTCATAAATCTATGTAGTGAATATGAGCTGAGAATATGTAACACGTTCTTTCCACACAAAGAAATTCATAAATACACTTGGTATATCAACACTCAAGAAAAGTTTGAAGTAGGTAAAACCGATGAGGCGTATAATATAATAAAACGGAATTTTAGAGATGTAGGATACAGTAGTAATTATATAAGAAACGAGGTACGGGTAATTCTGAAAGAAAATGAGGAAAAGGCAGATAGGTGGAAAGAATACTTAAGAGAACCTATACGTAGACCATGAGTTAGGAGATGTATTAGAGAAGAAAGATAGTGTGGAGATAGATGAACTAGATTATCCCATAATGAGAAGAGTTCGATGTTGCATTAAAAAACTTAAAAAATAATAACGCACCAGGTATAAATGGAATATAGGCGGAAATTTTATTTAATTACGAAATGGGGAAAGTCTCGGAGGATTATAAACGGAACGTGGTAGTAACGATACCTAAAGAGAGAGGCACAGATAAGGGCGAGACATTTAGATCGATTAGCTTAACTTCCCATGCGTCAAAAACCTTAACTAGAATTGTACAGAGGAGGATGGAAAAGGAGCAGAAGAACTATTAGGGGAAGATTAATTTGGGTTTAGAAGAAATAGAGGAACGCGAGAGGACATTCTAGGTTTACGGGAACAAAAACGAAGATCAATCTTAAATGGAAAATTTTGGAAGAGGGAAGGTAGGATACGTCTTACGACTTAGAAAGAAGGTTTTGACAATGTTAAATGGGACACGATGTTAACTATACTTAAAAATGTAGGTAGAACTAGATTAGATTACTATTCGTAAATAGGTAGTTAAGGATGTGGGTCGTGTTAGTTTTAGGTAAATATGAAGATTAGCTCAGGATAGGAAAGAGTGGAGATGCGTATCCAACCAGTCTCAGGACTAACAACCTTATGATGAGACAAAAGATTATGTGAAGTGATGTGAAAGATATTTAATAGATATACGTCAGTCTGTTTCACAAGTTAATAATAGACAGAAGTATGGGTATCTAGCAAGTCCCTTTACATATTACACAATAGGTTAAATTAGAAGAGAAGTCATTACTAATCCCTGATAATAGATATTTTATGGCAAGAAGTACATACTGATTGTAATTTAAAAAAAAGCTGTTATGTTGATACAACCTTAAACAACCTGCGATTGTTTGCGTTTTTGCAATAAATTATTTATTTATTTATTGACACAAAAGTTGGTTTCTTCCGTTAGTATTACACAAATTATAGAACTCTTTTTTATAGAAAAAACGCGAAACTGTTTCCGGGCTTTTTTCTATTTTCTCTGCATTTTAACCTGACGAAAAAACTTCTAATGACCACATCTCTCTCGGTCATTACAAATTACACAGCAATCGTGCTAAATACATAAGTATTATTGGGAATTTAAATGTTTCATAATCCGAAATAACGATTTATATTTCCGTTACATAGGGTGATTCAAATTTGGAAACGAAATATACATACCTGTCTAAAAAATTTTTATTATAAGTTTATTTATTACATTCAGAATAAAAAAAATAAGTTTTTCTTTCATTAATTGGTGAATATTCAGATGATTTGTAAATATGTTTATAAAATTGTTTTAATAACCGACAAAGTTGTGTTAAGCAGATAAAATCGATTTAATAATTAATTGGTTTATGTTTGAGGATTTCCACCGCCCTGTGCACTTTCCGAAGGTCTTGACGACCTGACTTGATTTTCAGGGGATTCGTTCTCAGCGGCAGGAGCAGCTTCTACATTTTCACTTGCAGCTTCGTTACTGGCAGGAGCTTCTGTTTGCGCATGTTCTCCTTCGGCAGAAAGACTCTGTCGTTTACTTTCAGCTTGTTCGGCCGCTTGAATGCCGGCTCCTGCTTCTGTTTCAGCTTGTCCTTTCACTTGTTCGGGGTTTTCTTGGTTTGTTTCTGCCATATCTTCTTCTTCCTCTTCTGACTCAAATTCGCTTTCTGGTTGTGATTTTACAGCACCTTGTTTTCAATAAATAAACCCTTTTTATTTCTGCCTATTTGCTCGTTTATATCGAAAAAAACACGAATAATTTTTTTGTTCGATAATTTTCCAAGTTGTTTTCAAAAAATAATATGTCACTTACAAATCATATGTTACCTTGATCCATCATTAATCGCGTAAAATGTTTTATACGACACGGTTGCTCAGATATTTGATTTAATGAAAATATCGCTATATATCATGTGCTTACCTTTCTTTTTATCCTTTTTCTTTTTGCCTTTTTTTTTAGGAGGTGGGAGAACTGTATCAGGATAATATTTCATAAAACATTCTTTCAAGGCCACTGCATTTATCGATTTGTTTTTTCCTGCAAATCTTTGTAGTATTCCGTTCATCAAATCCTTGTCAACCATTTTAATTTTTTGTTTTTTTGCAAACACATCGAAATCTTGTCGAGGCATATCAACTTTATCAGGTAGGGAAAGGACAACATGCCTTTTAAATGTTCATGCAAGTTATTATTAACTTAAAGAAGGATTTATATTTATACTCAAAAAGAAGTAATTAATACTAACCCAAAATTTCTTTGTTTCTTTTTCTTTTTCGGTTTCAAACATAAGAATATTGCTCTTTGAAACATAAGTTTCATTTCATCTGGACCACGAATTACGTAATTACTGTATATTCCTGCGAAATTTATTAATTTATCTTGAAGTTTAATCTTATTCCAAATCTAATAAATTGTGTACTTATAAAAATAAATTCGCTTTTTCGATAAACGGTACAATACTTACTCGTTGTTATGTTATCTACATACAAACAAACTAAGATTCTTACCGGTATAAATGATTTTTCGACAAACACGTTTTCCAAATCGAGAAACTTAATACTTTTTCCGTCGGCCAGGGCTTTTCCAAGAGTTACTGCATCATCGGGATTTATTGGATTGTTTCCTAATTTTGCGGCTAACAAGGATTTACTTCTTCTAAGAGCTATTCGTATTTTCTTTAATGGTGGTCCTGTCAATCTACGCTTGTGTTTATGTGTTATTATTTTTATTTTAATAAATTGCTTGTAAGTATAATAACCTGTTACTATTTAAATCAAGAAATTGCAACGACTGCGACTTTTTCACGTATTTAGCAAGATGTTTAGTGCAATCCACTGAACTTATCGCGTTCCATGCCAAATTTAAAGATTGCAGAATTTTATTTTCCAGCAGTCCATTNTAATTTACAGTGGGTAAATAAGCACTTTCTCACAAGCTCCTGTATAGAAATTGTTCCATGCCAAATTTAAGTCCATAATAGATAAATTGAATTTAAAAATATTTTCGAAAATTTCGCCGGCTCCATCGCCGAGCATATTGTGACTTAAGTCTAATTGAATTATTGAATTTGTATCGACAAGGGCTTCCGAAAGAGCAATTAGACCCTCATCTCCTAAACTATTGAATGCCAGGTCCAAATATTTGAGAGAATGACAATAAGGAATTCCTTCAGCGAGATAAGCGGCTCCTTAAATGTTAACTGTTACAAAATAAATTGATGAAACTTAAGAAAAGTCGTTCTTCGTATTTACCTTCCGGGCCAATTCTACATTCCCGTAAATTCAAATAGATGATGGTATCATTTATTTCTAAAGCTTTGGTTAAATACTGAACACTGTCTGGACTTAACCAGTTATCTTGAAGAGTCAATTCTTGAACGTATTTATTTGTTTGCATGCCAGCCATTAACGCTACTATTTGTTTGTGAGTAAGCCCGTAATACTAATTAACATTATTTATTACTAAATATTATAATAACATTTAAGGGACCTTTTACCTTTAGGTCTAATACGTTCGTAGGAAGTGATCTTATAATTCGCGATATCGGCACTATACCAAATTCTTTACACATACGTTTATATTCTTCCGCACCCACATCATCAACTATTGGATCAGGTGCTAAAAACACATTAAAGGTTAATTTGGAATATTTCTTAAGGATGGTCAACGAAAGACCTACGAACGTAGTTAATGGCTTTGTCTAATTCGGGGTCTTTTAGAGGAGGAAACACATAATAAGGATCTCTGAATATGGAACTGTGAGATACTATAAGTTGTACCAAACATCGGAAAGAATCGGTGTTTTTGTTAAGTAAGTCTTCTTCTTCTTCTTCTTCTTCCTCTATTTCTTCTTCGACTGGTAGTACATTATAAATTGTAAGTTGTTGCTCTTCTTCCTCTTCTTCAACTTCTGTATCAGTTTCATTAGCATCTGTCATATTTATAATACCCTTAAAATGATTTTAAAAGAAAATGTTTTAATTATGTCATCTGTCTAACAACAGAATATCAATTTGTGATAAAACTTCCGTATCAGGTCCTTTTCGAAAACAACTTTTCTTTCTTTGAAAAGAGTTAAATTGGTCCAATTATGAAAAACATACATGAAAAAATTGAGGTGAAGGCTTGACAGTCAATGGTCGGAACCCTGTCGGAACCTCCAAACTGATCGTAAATGTACGACAACAAATGCAACATTTCCCCCTCTCATCGTGGAGGGGCTATTCGTGCCGCCCCCTGTAGGTGAGGATCCAAGTACAGTTGGTAAAGGCTTTCGCTGCCAATAGGTGAACTGATGCTGTAATGATTCGGGTTTAAAAGCCGTCGTAGGTTGGAGTTGCTTCTTAACGTTTCGCTAGCATAAGGGGCGACACTTCTTCAGAGGATCTTCCATTTCTGATGCTGCATGTGGACCACACCACATCATGTAAGCTATTGATAATTGTGTCATTGTAATCCATTTCTAAAAAATAAAAGTTAAGTTTCCGAAAAAGCCTGATACGGAAGTTTCAATTATCTATTCGTGAATTGCTTTACTAGTTCCTCTTAATATTATATTTACTTTTAATAATTAATCAACAATTGCGGGCAGTTCAATGTATTTCTAAATAGTAAATTCAAGGAAATGTTATATAAGATAGTTAAAAATAGAAAAAAACACTTGTTTATATTAGCGATTGATGAAAGCAGAAATGAAATGAATTACATACACGAGCGTAAAATTGTTGATTAATT